ATTGAAAGTGAACAATACTCTTGTCGACAGATACTGATGACAGATTCTTATTATCAACAAGAAACGTATCAATGAAAAATCATGTCGAAGTTTCAAATGTTTTCAACGTTGCTCTCTGTGATTATTATATATGTGTTACTAGTCCTTTTTTTTTCATTTAATATATCTCAATTTAGTGACTGTTAAATTAAACGTAACTTTCATAGAAAGTCAAATTCAGTGACGAAACTAAACGAGATTCTTTCCTCTTGTACGTAGGTAAATTCTCGCGATACGAAAAATCGTAAGAGTAATACCCCCGCGCGTCAGGTAAAGGATGTACTGAAAGCGGGCGGGAGTCTATTTTTAGGCACAAGTCGGTTGCAGGTACGTTATATACCGGTTGGCCCCGTAAGACGGTGCACTTACACAACAGCCCACGGCTACGTACATACGGCTACGCGAATCGGCACGCGGACTTTTGGTCCATACGAACTGCATGATGTTTGCCCTTTACATTTCGCGTCGCGTCGCTATAACAATTATTTTTATCGCTTTGATAAAATTCGGCAATAGATTCGGTCGACAACCTAATCTACGGCTATAAATTCTCTTCCGTTATTCGGACACTCTTGGATATAAATAAAAACATAAACATTTCTGACTCCGAAATATTCGAATGTTCAAAAATATCTAATCTGTATATTTTTCGTTGTGCTGTTTCATTGTAACGTTCTCCTTATCGGCAAAATGATAATGAACGACTGGTCTGATAATATCGATCCTGCACTTCCGAATTACGTGCGATCGATCGGTGATCGATCGATTGGTTATAACAGAATAGAGAACTTGACAGATATGATTATTCATCTCTTCATTTCATTTTGCATTTCCGGCGCATTTGATTGTTGTTTGTTCTCCGTTAATTAATATCGGTTGGACCGTTCTCTCGCGGTAATCTCGGTAAATCGGTAAACTGCACAGATGGAACTGCATCGTTTCGATAAAGCGAGGCGAGAAGCGAAGGTTCAATCTTAGCTTCGGCTCTTTCTCGGTGCAATTGGAAAGTCTCGTGATGCTGGATCCTTTCCACTGTGCCATACATTCCTTCGAGACGACCAGGCGATCGCTCGTAATCGCGTAAAAGGATCGCGCTGTTTACAGATGCATCGCGGCTGGCGTTGCCTCGAGGCAGACGCTCTGCGCTGGATAAAAAGTTCGGGAGCCTGACATTTTTACGTCGTCTACGACGATCCTTTCGGCCACAGGAGGTATATACGTTTCGTCGGGCGAACATTTTGCGGCGTCACCCCATCGGCCCGCGCACTTTTACGAGGTAGCAATCGTAAATCATACTTTTTTTCGCGCCACCAAACGACAGCTTACAAATTGGCGAACAAAACGAGTTCATTCCGAGGTGACTTAGGTGGTTTTAGCCGAGGGAAAGGGTAGCCCGCATTTAGCGGCGATAAACCGCGTCGAAAAATACGCAAATTGACGTCTCCTTTTACCTATGCAGCTACCGTTCCCCCAAAAATGTAATCTTATCGCTAAATCTTATCTTACACTGTATTTATTATGTTATATAACTATTGATTATAAGCAGTAAAGTTTTGTATATATAATTGGATTTTATTAAAAGCTCGAGATACCATCTTGCTAGATAAGCTCGGTTTTAAGGAATTCACTTTGAAGGAGTTATTTTTAAGGAGTCTTCACAACTACCTCGCTGTTTTATGTATCGCATTATTGTCCGTATATATATATATAGATAATTTTTCTTTCAAAATGGAGCAATGCGCAATTTTAGCGCTTCGACTTTGTTTAATGCGTTAAATGTCATGGTCATCGATAATCAACTGTTGTGATATTCATGTATCATTAAAAAATGCACACAGCTAAATTAAAAATTTTTTGACAACACGTCATTCTAATTTCAATAAAAAAGCCAATTAAATAACAGAATACGCGAGTGTTTCGCGAACCGCGTGATATTCTCTCATTGTCCGCAATGTACACTCTTGAGCGAGGCGAAAATTATGCGCGTCTGCATAACTCGGCCGAGTAGACTTTAGTCGAACTTTCGCAAAGTTAAACCGCATTCTTAACGCACGATCAGAGAGGCGCCTCGTCTCGATCTCCGTCCGCGAGGCGGGCGACGGGCGACCGACGCGACGGGCGCGAGCAGGCTACGGCAGCAGCAACAACAGCAGCAGCAACAGCAACAGCTGCAGGTTCGCGCTGGGATCCGCAGAACGCGGGGCAACGTGCAACGTTTCGATTTCCGCGCGCGCGGCCGCGAGACGAGAGAGACCAGGCCAACGCCGAGCCTGATCGCTAGATTTCTCGCGTTTTTCAGCGAGGCGAGAGAGCGCGCGCCGCGGCCCTGGCGGATGGAATGCGGGCGCGGCGAGTCCCGGCGAGTCCCGGCGCGGTGCGGCGCGGCGCGGCGCGGCGCGTTGCGCGCGGTGTGTATGGCATGGCATGGCATGGTATGGCATGGTATGGATATATACGCGTACTCGCGCGAATACGACGTCCCGCCAACTTAAGCGGCGCTCACACGGGACGGCGCCGCCGACCGGCCGATGGAGAGTCGAGAGTTACCCCATCCCATCCAGTTCCGTAAATCGCCGAGTTTCTAACAAACGTTATTTCAAACTTCTGTAGAGTCTCCTTAAATCGACTTAAAAAACGAATTCGCGTCTGAAACTCTCATGTTTAAGAATTGTATTCGCGGCGACGAAGAGGCGCGTCTTGAGTAAAGAGTTTCAACGAGTTTAGATAAAATAATCGTTTAGATAAAATATTTTTCCGAGCGGTCGTATGTTTAGTTATTTCAAAGTGTAGATAATAGAATAATGTAACTATTATACTAACGAACTATTTAACACTTACAACGGTATAGAGAATTTGTAACTTCTCCTACTGTTGTATTCATTTATATTTTCATCGACACCTCATTTGCTCATTACATTACTTTGTATCGAGGAAGATAAACTATAATTAACAATAAAAGAAGTTCGTACTATTCGTTCCGTGAGATCACGCATAGATTTTCGTGGAAACGCAACGGGATCGGTGTGGCTCGCGCGACGAATGTAAAATTATATACATCATTGGCAATAAAATTACGCCAAGAATCTGTAAACCTACGCGGATTGTGAGGATCTATCTTAACGGCCGCGCATGATATACGCGAAAAAGAAAAATCCACCTGGGATTCTCGTAAATGAAGAATGTCGCCTATGGTATGCGGCTATCGGTTAAAAGATACTGATAGCAGGTATCTGTGGGCGGAATGCTCTTTTTTTTTTAGTGTAGCGATAGCAGCTCTCTGCACTAATCCACAGTTAATTTAGTGCAAAGATTTTTCTATAGGGCATTATCGTTGAAATGATAGCAGATAACAGGTAATTATCCGATACTGGGGCTTCTCGTTAGGATGGAAAACTCGGTTGACAACGGTACGAGTGTCAAAACATCTGACAAAATTCCTGATCGGCTTTTATCTAAAGAATGCAACGTAATAAACGACTTTTTCCAAATGTAAATAATTTCTTTTTATGCGCGCAGTGCATAGGATATAAAAATTAACAGATTTTTTTAGTGTTCTTTGCAGAGAAATAATATCGCTCTGTAATATAAATTCTAAATTGTTTATTTCTCCTATTTTTTAGTAAGCTTCGAAGACTGCCCGATGCATCGGAAGATTTTCGACCGTGCAAAGATCGCGAGAATGAGATATCTCACGATTATTATTACACAAAAAAAAAGAAAGGATGAAATTCGAGTAACATATTCACTAAGCGCAAGTTCTAGATTAGAAGAGTCTGCCTGCTAAATTAGCTATCAATTTCTCTCGCGATCGGCGGCGTACGTGCCTATATGCAACTATGCAGCCTCGATACTTGGAGAATGCGATGCACGCGTGTGTGTACGTGTACATACGCACGCGTATGCATACTTTATCACTTCAGCGGCGTTCACACGCGGCCGAGTTATCGCGCGGCGCGTCTAGCTGTCAGTTCGTCCGTCAGCGTGTTGCTGTACGAGCGAAAATCCTCGAGCGAAAAACATTATTCGCGATATCTTCCTGGAGAAAAGGTGAAAAAATAAAAATAAAAATAAAAAAAAATCCGTCGAGTGAGAGCTCGCGCGCTCGTTTGCGGAAAGTACACGAACGCGAAAAGGCGCGTTCACACGGAGCGACGATTCACGCGCGATTCCGAAGCACGCGAGCTATGCGCGCGAACGTATACAGGATGTCTTGGAAGTCGCGCACTTTCTCTGCACGACAAGCGTTAGAGGCCAGATTGGCAACCGCGATACTATTCCTGTAGCCACGCGTCGACGGAATCATTTCTTTCGCGTCGCAAGTTAATCTCGTTAGCCAGATTTGAACTCCAGGGAAATTCGTGAAATAAATAATAATTGTGCCTCTCACGCGTGTAGAATTTTACATCTTTCTTCGACGTTCCGAGAAAACTATACGATTCAGATTGGATCGAAAAAAATGAAAGTGTCGAATATTAAATTGAATACGAAGCCAAATGTTAACGGAATATCAAAGGGAACTTGGCTGAAAAAAAATCCGGCGATGGAATTTATACGGAGAAAGCGCGCGACTCGCGCGATACACCCCGTATACACGCATTCCCGCCGAATCGCACGCTGAATCGCGTATCCTCGCGAGATCGCGGTCTCGTGCGCGGCGCAGAGGGGAGGGAGAGGCATCGTCGTGACGCTCGAGCGCACGCACACTTACGCCGACGTGTGCACGCGATTCTTCTCTCGCGCGCCGCGCGCTCCAACGCGCAAAGACGTTGCGAGGAGGAAGGAGCGCGACGCGGGTTAAAGACGGAAACATTTACAACTCGCAAACATTAACAGGCAGGAACCGGCGCGGCGACCTGTCCGATGACTGGAAATTATCCTGTTTATTTCGCGTCGGCTCGTTACATATTTCTCGAGAAGGAGAAGAAAAAGAAGAAGAAGAGCAGCTTCTTTCGCTTACGTACCTATCTCGAGGATCGATCCACGTAGTCTTCCGCGTGTTGTGATCGATGAAGTACACCTTCCCGTCGAAGTCCTGGGCGACGTCCCACCCTTCCGGAAGCGGTATCTCCCCATTCCGTCTCCTTGGCATATTTCACTGCGCTCTAAATCCATCCAAAACCTCTCTCTCTATCGTCGTGCGGTCGACGGGCGCATATCTGTGCGCGCGGGCGCACGCTTCTCGGGCCACATATACGGCACGCTCCGCACGACGGCCGCGACGTGGAGAACGGGAGAGAACGAGACAGGTAGACGGCGAGGGGGAGACGGAGAAGAAGTGGGGAAAGGATAGTGGAGGAACGAGAGACAGAGAGGACGGGCGACCCGACCGTAGAAGGGCAGGTGGACGGGGGAAAGGGGAAGGGGGGGAGCGAGCGAGACGGCCAACGGCGACGGTTCCTCTGGAGCGACGAGGACGGATAAGCCGTATTGTAACACACACGGCACACAGAAGGAGCAGCGAGACCAGGAGCGTACACTCGCATATGTGTATGCGCGTACTCTCTTTCTCTCTCTCTCTCTTTTCTCTCTCTTTCTCTCTGGCTCGCGCGCACTACTCCGCCATCATGAATACCTCATTATCATGAGCGGAGTGACGTCAGAGTCCCCGCCTTCAGATTCCTCTCGAGCGGAATTCCACCGTTAACACAGCCAGCCGTCGAGGAGCAGCCCGAGGCGGCGAGCGACAGCGGCAGCGGCAGCGACGGCGACGGTGTCGTGGTATTGCGCTCGCACGGGTGCATCGATCAGGTGCACTTCGCGTATCATCACCACCAGTCACCACCAACCACCGGAGAGCAATCACCTTCTTCTTTATTTATTATTTATTTACTTTCTTCCCTCGTTCTCGCACACTCGCGCACACGAATCTCTCTCACGGCGCCCTCCGATTCTGAAATCTTGCGTTTTACGACACGATCTCTCCGCCCGCGTGCTTCTTTCGAAGCTCTCTTCGAAACACAACAAGAAAACAAGAACAAACAAAAGAACAGAACACCTCTCTCGGAAATTTTCCCGGGCACTCGTATATTATTCTTTCGCGCGTTCACACGGACAATGAACGAAACAACGTCGCAACACGGAATCCGTCAGTCGTCACGCGCTCTTCTCATCCCTCCGGATAGTACGGAAGCATCTCCATTCCTGTTCCCGTCGTAGTGACACTTTCAAGGTCTACACCGTTCGCACGACGCCACGCGCTCGAGTCACGAACCTCGGCGCTACGCGCACCGGTAATCCTAATGGTCCGATAACCTGATGATAGCGGAGTTTCTCAGAGCGGGCTCTCCGAGAGACAGCCGCTCCGTTGTTGCTCCGTCACGATCTCTCCACCGAACGACGCTACAGCGACGTCGTGTCTCCCGTAACTGCGACTGCGGTTGTGGCTGTGGCGGCGACGGCGACGACGGCGGCAACGACGACGACGACGACGACGGTGGCGGAACGGCCCGCGACCCGTTTCGAGCGACGCGCGCTATCGCCGGCTCCGTACAGCGGCTGCGGCAGCGGCGGCGGTGGCGGCAGCGGCGAAGCACGTTTCACCGTGTTCCCTTTTCCTCGTTGCATTAGCCGCGGCTGTAATGCTAATGCCGAGCAGCGGATCTTGACGTTTTTCGCACGCAGGAATGTGGGAACTCGACGTTGCCCTCACTCTTGGCGCGCTCACGAGAGGACTGCAGTCTCTCTCTTTTACCGTTTTCTCTCTCTCTCTCTCTCTCTCTCTCTGTCTCCTTTTTCTTTTTCTCTTGCTCAAACGTATAACTCTCGCGTTCCCGTTTGACTTCGCACTCGCGACATCAACGACGACGACGACGACGAGGACTGTCCGAACTGTTACGATGTCCCGTCGATGTACGTGAGATCGGTGAAAGAGACGGGTCTTAGCTTTCGCACCTTCGCGGGAAACACAGTCCGAGAATAACTCCCAGTTCTCTGCGCGCGATGTTACACCAAATTTTTCACGTTTCATACGCGACGGACGATTTTCTCGTTTCCGACGAGTACTACCCACCTCGCGTCACAGCTACGAGCATGCCGAGTGTTTGAGACATGCCACTGGACGTTCATGCCGTGCGCGCCGCTTGGCAATACCTCTCTTTCTCTCTCTCTCTCTCTCTTTCTCTCTCTCTCTCCCGCTCGCGTTCTATCTCTTCCCGTCACCCCTCCACTACCCTTTCAACCGTATTCACCGCAAAGACCGTAGCCGTCTCCCACCAACGTTACCGTGACGTGTCGCGTCTTCGTTTAACTCGCGACATTTATCCTCGTCGCTCCCGTACGATCGCGTCCCTTCCACCCGCACCTACCTCTACTCCACCGACTAACCGACCGCTCGACTATGCTCGATCCTCGTCGCGCCCGTACGAAGCGCCTATCGTGCCATCTCTCTTCCAACACCGGTAAGCCTTTCGCGTGTCTCTGACCGCTGCGCGCGCGCACGAGAGGCAGCACGATAAACGACAAGCGTGTTTGCCCTTTCGACTGCCTCGCATATTTGCCGCTACGCCGTAGGAATGGCGCCACCGTACAACACCATGGGCGCAGGTGCACCCTAACCCCAGCATGTATCTCGCGGCAGTCGCGGCGCGCGAGATTATCGATAGTTGCGAGGCTTTTGATAATCAATTTGACGGGAATACGCAAAAGGAAAATAAAAAAAGGAAAAAATGGAGATCCAGAAATATGCAGGGTCTTCGTCCCCCTGAATTGTCTGAGCCCTATTAAATTTATTTGAGGTTTTATTAAACGTATCGACTGCTAATTCTGATGTTTTTCGAGAGATTTCTGCGTGGTTACTTTTTTTTAGTACCTTGAACATTGAGCAGAAGTCAATGTCATTAAAATCATATATATATTCGATTGAATTTCACTCCGCCAAGCTTGAGCTTCAGGGACGTAAATATATAAACGTTAGTCAGAATCTGAAAATCTTTTAGCAGAAAAGTAAAACATCTTTCGATCGTCTGTGTTGACATAACGATTTCAGACATGACATCTGCTCCCTCTCCTGCTCCATAAAAAAGTTTATCATATATTTTTGAACGATTATATATGATACGAGGATAAATGTCGTTCATTACACCTTCTACACCTCGCCTTTTACCTTCTCTTTCTCTCTCCTTCGCGGTCCCATATACATATGTCGCTTGCGTTTCGAATGCTTGTGTAAGAAAGAAAATGCATAGCCGAGAAGAGTGGATGTACGTACGCTTGAACGCAGTCCCGGACTGAGTGAGTCCGTCTCGCATGCGCAATCACCGTGAACGCTATAAAGGCGTATTGCGAATTTAACGTGTTTGTCCGATGACGTCCACCACGTGACCGTCAGCGTTTGGCATGTATAAATACACGCACACTCGCGTACGTATATGCGTGTACGGAATATGATGTGGAACATATGTTGACGCAAGGCTTACGCCACGAGACGCCTCGTCGCTGAAAAAGTTTGGCCCTTCTGACTCGCGACAAGGTATACTTGGGGTGTCAAACTCTCCGCCTAGACGTGTGCATAGGATTGCTCGTCTCTTTTCCAGGGACAGGCTTCGTTAAACGAAGAGATGGCGACGTCCGAGAGTGACGCCGACTTCGAGAGCGCTGACGAAGAATTGGGCCGCGGTGCCCCCGTTAAAAGAGCCACCCGGGTGACGGTCTACCGAACGACAGTGGACTCCGAGTCGGACGACGATACCGAATATGTCCAACGCATGCCTTGCGACAGCGCGGACTGGCAGAGAAGATCCGAGACTTTCCGAATGACGCCAGATGTGTTGACGGGTCGAAAGACCCTGGTCGACGATAAGGATGATAAAATAGATAGCGATGTCAAAGTTGAAAGTGGTGTACGTCCTACCAAATCGGTTGGTCGTGTAGAAGAGACCTCTAATAAACAAGAGACCGCGTCCTCCATCGAGTCAGAAATATCAACGCGATCCTCGTCAACCTCTACGATATCAGCACAGAGCGAAGATACTGAATCTGTGATAGAGAGTTGCAAGACCGTCGAAGCAAATGCCATGTCTAAAGTAGAAGCTACAAAGACCGAGTTGGGTGACAAAGAAATCTCCCAAGCAAAGCAACGCCAAGGTGCATCCTTCCGTCAGTTGGATGCGAAAAAGTTAGGAACTAGACTTACAAAGGCTAATGTCGGCGAACCTTGCGTCACTTCTAGTGCAGCTGCGGAACAGGAAGATAAATATTCAGCAAAGTATTCAAACGAGAAATCCTTACCGTTTGTGAGCAAAGACATGGAATGTAAATCGGAAGAAAAATTAAAAACTCAAGTAACAGGTAATCAATCTAGACTGTCAAGTGATTTGTCGGAAGTGGACATGCCAGAAGAATTAAAGTCGAATAAAAAATTTAAAGAAGTTTTTCAGCCTGAAGGTTGGGAAGGACTTGGAGATGACGTCGAGTTGCCCGATGAATTGACAGAAGAGAAATTACAGCCTGTATTACAGAGGCTCTCCTTGGCAAACAAAGAAGAGAGCAATGATGAAAGTTCTTTAGGAAGCTGGGGCAACTGGGGAAATTGGGGTGTAACCTCGTTAATTAATACAGCCACTGCAAGCGTGTCTACTCTAACTAGTCATGTGTCTCAAGGATTTACACTTTTGGAAGGTATAGGAGCGCAGGACCCTACAGAATTGGAAAGGATAAAGCAGGATACAGTCACCGCAACTGATGGTATGATACTTATTTAGTATAAATTCTATAGTGTTATGATTTTTACATATATATTTTAACAATGTATACATATAATTTTTTCTTGCTTTTATGACATTTATAACTTTCCATTTTTACACTGGATATATCAATTACTTGAAAATAAACAATCAACATATACAATTATATTTTTGTCAATTTGTGTTAATAGGTGCACAGTCGGAGATCCAGGAACAGGAAAGTCGATCGTATGGTTCGTTCGGATTTGGGAATTTGATATCAGGAGTGTCTTCAATTACAAAACTGGTCGAGTCCACCGGTAGCAAAGTTATGACGGGTGGTTTGGATACATTGGAGGCTATTGGGAAGAAAACGATGGAGGTACTGCAAGACGGTGATCCCGGATTAAAGAAGAAAAGAGCCTTTTTCATGAACGAGCCCGGGAAACCAAACTTGTCGCAAATTCTCAGAGAAGCGAAGGAAAAAGCCGAAACCGAGGAGAAAACGATCGAGGAACGCGAATTGGCGAGGAAAGTGCATTTCGAGAGTCTGTTCGACGATTATCAGGGACTCGTACACTTGGAAGCTTTAGAAATGTTATCAAAGCAGAGCAATATGAAAATTCAGCAACACTTAATCGAGTTGGATACAAACGACCTGACTTCCGTGCAAGAAACATTGGAAGAGATCAAAGAACTTTGCGATTTAGGTGATGAAGATGATGAAAATAAAGATGATAAAGATTTGAAACGCAGATTAGAGAACGCTTGTCACGACCTCGGTGTCGATATTACTTACGAAAAATTATATGATGTAAGAGAATATTCACAGTAGTATATTCAAGGGAATTATGTGTACTGTCGATAAAAACAATTGTGTTCTGTATTTTCAGGTTTGGACAGAAACGGAAAATTATCTTGCGTCATCCTCGACGTACACCGATCAGGAGATCTTCCAGAATGCTATATCGACATTGGCACAGTTCACAGCATTCTCCGTAGAAAGATTTCATAAAACGGCAGAATTGTTGTTAATCAAGGAACGTCGCAGTACAGTGAACGAAGCGGACGCCTTGGTGCAACTTACCAATATTCTGTCCAATCACATTAGCTTATTGGCCAATTCGTTCTGCGATACATTGCATCAATTTGCCGAGACTGCGGAAAAATCAGATAACATCAATGCGAATATAACAACGATTTTCTTAGAAGTAAGTACTCTGTTGAATAATTCAAGTAACGTAATGATTGTAATGTGCTAAAAAAAACTTATTTTTTTCATACAGGCTGCTAATGCAAATTCGTATATTCAAGATGCCTTTAGACTTCTCATTCCTATTCTGCAAGTTGGTGCGATCTAACGAGTAATTATATAAAGTATATTAAAACAGACAATTTTTTATACTTTAAATTTAACAATATCGTGTCTAGATCAAATACAATTTTCGATGTAGGCATAGAGCATAATGTTATCCCGTTTCCCCAATTCATAAACACTTTCCATTTTATTTTCAAAACGGTATCTATATTTGGAAAAAGGGACCAATTTAATTCTGCTAACAATATATTTATATGTACCACTCAACTCAATGTATTTTTTATCGTTTTTGGTTTTTTGCAGTATTTCGCGTTGTCATCGAATACAAAATAGTTACAGATATACATATATGATAATCAATACATCTACATGTACACACACACACACACACACACTGGGATCTATTGGACAGATTTTAATAGATTGTTTTAATGTATTTGTGCCTCAATAATGCACACATTACAAAATAATTAAACTTTAGAATTTAATAATAAAAAGTATGGTTTTTGATGTGTGTAAGATACGGAATATCTGTAACGTAAGGTACAAATTCCAATCAAGATTACGCTATATGTATATATCGACAACAAATGTAAAAAAAAAAGATAAGAATATCACAATGATTAATAATGATCAATATAAAAATACTTTTTAAACGTTCGTTTTTAACATCGTCATTAACGTTAACAATGGTAGAGGAGACTTTACAACGTGTGTTGAAGATAACAATTTGCGTGTGTCATAAAACTTGGTCTGAAGCGAATGATCAATGCTTCCCTCGTTTATTACCAATAGGAGGCTTTTGAAGTTGAAAGTTTGAGCTGGTTCCGTTTACTGGCAATGGTGAAGTCAAATTAATTGGCGCGTTAAAGTTTAAACTTGCTGTCGGCGGTTTCGTGGACGATCCTATAGTAATGTTAGTAGCAGACGGCACCGATGTTGAACTTTCCCAAACTGTAACAATAACATTAACATTGTTATTTTTAATTCAACTGGAAATAATGTAGAAATGGAACATATGTAATAGCTGAAGCCACGGAGTAATATCTCTTTTACTATTGAAGATAACACAGCGTTCACAGTATTTTTGAGATGATAATTATATTTTTCATTATGTTAAAAAAAATCACTTATTAAATATATAATTGATGTTTTTATATTAACATTCTTGTTACATCTAATAGCATAAAAATCTTTGTAAATAAATTATATTTACTTTTTTTTAACCCTTAAATTTCCATTTGGTTGAAAAGTTGCAGGAGGATATGTGTATCTTAATATTTCGAAATCCTTTGAAATTTTGATTCCGTGACGAATTTAATATTTCTGATTAGAGAGGGAGAAAGACAGAGAAAAAGAGAATATCCATGTTTGCAAGCATTACTGCATAACGACGTTGGCAAAGCCGAAAGCACTCAAAGCACATTTATAGAAGGCACTATCATTTGTTAAGAAAGCATGATTTTGAAATTGAATCTTTTGATAGCATCTTAATGCAAAGTATACAAAAGATTAATAATATCGATATGTAATCATCTATATAAAAATAATTAGTTACTTTGTAGGAGGATTTATACAGGCAAAGAAGCGCGTTACCCTTTTCCCATGATCGCGACAATAACAAAAAGAAACTGAAATAAAATTTGAGTACCTCAATAATTAAATTACAGCCCCTATTTTTTTTCCTGAAAGGCAAAATCAAAGTCAAATGATAAAAGTCGACGATATTTTCTGTCAAATAATGAGAAAAAGAAGAAAAAAAGTAGACAGGCTAATTATGATCACACGTTCATTCTATTTAAACGACGTTATATGTTAGTAAGTTCTACCTCATCAACTAGATCCAGGCAAGACCTGAAGGTAGGAAATCTTTAGGGGGCGGTTAAAATCATTTTTTTTCTTTTAAAAGGAATCTTTTACTTAAGGATGTATAATTAAATTACAAAACAGTCAACAGCAAAGCCTATTTACCTAAAGGGTTTCGTGTTTCGTAACTCGCTGGCCGGTTCGAGTTTAATGTCGTCGACGACAAAAAGTTTTTATTTCCTGTAAGCATTAATCTTGTTTATCAAGACAATGTTCAGATTATTTTGGAATGTGTAAAAATTACCTGGCCCAAAAGGAGTGGGACCACTCGTGATTCTGCCGATGCTGCTTCGATTAGATTTACTGTTCACCTTGATACTGTCGAAAACATTGGTGTTATCCTTCAGCACGTATTTTCTGAAATTAAGATATTGTTCCTTCTGTTGCTGTACCTTAGCGTGCACACTCTGTAATCGGCCAGCAACTGCGACTAGAGACTCGTGAAGCTTACTCATGGTCGCTGTCAATTCTAACGACAAAATATAATATATCAACATCAACAATATTCTTAATACTCGAAATGAATTTATTTAAACAGAAGAATCTATTGTACCTTGTGGTGTTAATGTTCTCGGCGCCATCATGGATTGAATGTGTTTCTCGGTTGTCTCAATTTGTGATCTGAACAACATCAAATCTTGTTCGAAGCTTTCGGCTAATTCCATAAAGAATTGCAGGGGCGCATTATTTTCGTATTGCAACCCCGGTGGAGTATCGTGTGTTCTTTGACCTATTTCAGCGCTCTGCAACGCCCTCGCTGTGTCCTGCTTCAACTTATCTGCGGAAGAACGATCACGTTGTACTGAGCCAGATAACGTGGACAGGATTTCCATCAGAGATGCCGTATCTTCCGCACATCGATTCAACGGTCTCGCTGAGCCTCTCGCGATATCTGAAGATAGGCCTTTTTGCATTTTTACAAATTCCCTGTAAAGCAAACGTGTCCGTCAAAATAATTTATCTATATACAAGACAATTGTTTTCTTATTGATTTATTTTATTCATAATTACTTGAATTTATCTATAGTTTGCATAAGTTCATTTGGCAATAAATTCTCCTTGGCTGCTGTTGAACTACTATTTCCTTGAGAAAGACCCTTATTATTGACAGAAACATCCAAACCACCGAGTCCTTTACTAGCAGTTGCAGTAGTAAGAACAGTCGTTGGCTTAGAACCCAGTAGAGAAGTGCTTCCAGTTCCAGATCCAAATAAGGAAGCTGTACATAAATCAATTGCGATGATCAACCGCTAATAATAAAGCTTGTATTACAATAATAGAACATAAAATGTACATACTATTAGCGCTAGCTGTACCAAAAGTTAAACTTCCTGTCGCCGTTGTATTAGACGTAGCACCAAACGTTAAAGTGTTCGTTGTAGCTGGAGCGCCAAAATTCAGACCTGTGAACAGGGGTGCGGATGTCGTAGGGGTGGGAAATAAACTGGGGGCGGTGGTCATTGTGGTAGCTGTGTTGGATCCAAGAATGAGACCGCTGCATTGCGCCGGTGTAGAGGTTGCCGCGGTACCGAATCCGAAATTAAGACCTATGGACGTTGTTGGAGTGGACAAGGCGCCAAACGTTAATGCGCCAGACGTTGTAGTCGCGGTGCCGAATGACGTGTTGCCCAAACCGAAACCTGTCGCTGGCCTTAACAATACACAACAACAGTTCACAATCAAACATCATCCTCTCCTTTGCGAAAAATAATTGTACAGTTTAAATCTAAATAATAAATGCGTATTAAATAAAAAACTATATACTTGATCATTATTACTTATTGAAGCGATAATTTTTACAAATGCTGTTTGGAGGTTAGGATTAACGATAGCAGTTATATTTACTTCTGAGTCCCAAATCCGAAACCTGTGCTAGCAGAGGTGACTGCTGGAGTTCCGAAAGTAAACGCCATTTCTCTGCACGTCGCATAAATGTGTCACACGTTGATAAATAATTTATTTACAATAACATGTAAACACACCGAGAACGCACGCGAACGTCGCAACACAACGTAACGCCTCTTCTCGTACATACCACATACATCCGTACACACATACTCAGTCGGAGCACTCGGAGCATGCGCAGAAACAGCAAATCTTTTGGAGGATTCACACGCAATCCGCATTCTGCAAAATAAATGCATCTTTCAGGGATGTGTGTACTGTGTGTTCGGATTCCCATCCAAATGCTCTTCAAATATATTATTCCATATATCTATATGTTTTATTCTTGTTTAACATTCGGTAAATAACATTGCGATCCAGTTATGATTCAATCAGCGTCGAGCCAGCTTAACGTTGATTGGATCGCAACGTTTAAGTGCGACATTGCGATGCGACTAATATATTTAGAATCAATTTTAAAAATATTACCTAATAATATGTTTGATAAAAAATAGTTTTTAATTCTTTTTTAATTCTTAAAAAAAGGTTAATTATTAATGTATCAAATATTATACATACCTATAATTTATCGTCTATATTTAATTTATATGCTTATTTAAAATACATATATATTTTAAATAACATTATTTAAAATACGAATTTTTAATTAAAAAACCTAAAAAAGTTATTCAGTATTTATTTTAAATTATTCGTTAGATTATCGTAATGTGTATCGGAAGATTGTAATAATTAACAGCAAGCAATTACGTGTATCCTAGTCGTGCAACAGAGAAAAAGAGGAACCCATCGATTTCTCCCTCATTTAAAATGAAATGATACGTATAATAAGTGATGTGTGAATCGATCTCTGTTTCTACGGTATTGTCGTCATTCGTTATTTTCGAAAAGCACGCAGTGCGTACTATACGTACTATCGTAATATACGATATGCTTAATCTCGGCGTGATTATTTCATTATTCTATCAAAATTCAATACAAGAGAATTAATGTCGCGGCATTATTTCCCGCGGCGAGGCGAGGCGAGCCGCGAGCAGCGGGCTGAACGGCGCGCGCATGCGCGTGGGGAGAGCGGGCTCGGCGGCTCGAAGGCCGCGGCGCGCCGGCGAGGCGCGCGGCGATCAGTAGTAGGGAACTGGCACGGTGCGTGGATGGTACTGCGTGGCGCGCGCTCGGCGCCGCGAACTTTAATTCGACATTATCGAACTCTATCGCTAAAGCATTCGAGCAACTTGCATAGTAAGTGCGCGTTTGGCAGAACAATAAATTATTGTGAGTGCGCCTTCAGCAATAATAGTGTAATTATAATAATAAGTGCGCGTTCGGCAGCATGGCATGCACATAGTAAGTGCGCACGTACAATGAATGCGCATCGGCAGAACAATAAATTATAGTTAGTGCGCCTTCAGCAATAATAGTGTAATTAATAATAAGTGCGCGTTTGGCAGCATGGCACGCACATAGGAAGTGCGCACGTTCGGCCAAAGCCCATTCAAGACGCACCGAATTCTCATCGAGCTTGTACATCCTTCAGTCAGAACATAAAGTCCGAGGTTATCGAGACAGAGGCGACGGAGATTGATCGCGGTTCGTCGAAGGACAAGTGAGATTCGAGGAAGGACAATCGTCATCTGAGTACAACGATAGGTAAGTAACAATTAATAATATATCATAAAAATAGATTTCGCATTGAGAGTTTCATATTATATAAAATCTATTCATTTCTATCAACGGCATATCGTGTTGCGGGCCATTTGATTTTGTCGCTGCGTGAATCTGATGCGTGATCAATTATTGTTACAGCAATACCTTACCTCTATCATAGCATTTTTCAAATATATTGATTATTATAGAATTTATTGGCTTACAATTAGATAGAAAATTTCTAGAGACGCGAGAAATTCTATTTCTATATTACCATAGACGTCTTCGCAAAATGATGAATGTTGAATTTCCATTTTAACTTATAATTTATTGTTCGTTTTAATTATACTTTTCCTTGCTCTTTGATATTGAATTGAGTATTCGTTGTTTGCTCTATTATTTCTCATATAAAAACATATATTATTACGTTAAAAATTAGATATAATAACTGCACGAATAGAAATTATATGTAATAATTACAAGAATTTGAACGTAAAAAGTTGATCGAAATGAATTAATTATTGTTGACGCGATTGATTATTGACATTCGGGAGTATCTCGTTCCACAACAAAACCGAATTTTTGCACAGATTGTGTGTACAATTAAAATTAAAAAGATTTTTTAAACTTAAAAGCATAGAAGAAATTATTTTAATCATACGCTCGCAAAAAGTGTTAGACAATCATAGAGTAATAAGAAAATCGTAATAAGAATTATATAGTAAAAAGAATTACATTCTAAGAGAAAACCTACTTGTCAATAAGTTTTTCGAATTCAATAAAGATGTTTGTCATTGTCTTTTACACTTTTTGCCAAACGCTCGAGAAAATTTCTCTTTCCTATGTCTGGAAAATCTGCGAATAGTACGGATAGTTTTCTTTTAAATACGGTCGTGTATATTGCATGATTAAATTCATATTTATATATGTGATGCATGAGAATAAGTTTGTGTGGTGTCTAACACATATTTTTTTCAGTGAATAAAATATAAATTTAAAGTACCCGTGTTAGTGGGAGGTGGCACGGAAGAGGCTTACGAAGGACGCTTTAAATGCGTGAAGGGGCTACAGGGAATTCGTTCAATCTTATTAAAGATTGAAGGAAAATCTACAATAATAAAATAACAAAACTAAACAAACCAACGGAATAACAATAAAATATTTAGACAAATACAATCAGATTTCGTATAAAAACGCGAATTAAACCGTTAGCAATTGAGACCCTTCATTGATCGACAAACTTTCTCCGCGTTCCGCTTATATAAACCGCGTCGGGAATTGCGTCCCATCTTTACTAATTAATAAAATGGTAAAACTTTTTGCGATATTTAAACAACCACGTGCTTGGACTTGCGAAAGTTTTGGATAAAAAAAAAAGATTGTTAAATTTTTCGCCCCTAACTAAACGATCACGTTTCGAAGCTCGCGATCATTGTCATTGTTAATTAAAAATAAGATTGTTAAATTTATCGCATCTATTCAAACGACCATTTTCCGGGTATCGCGATAATTCTAATTAATTAATAATAAAATTGTTAAATATCTCGAGCCTATTTAAACGATAGCGTTTTGGAGCTCGCGATCGTCTTTATTAATTAAATATAAGACTGTATAATTTCCGCGCCCATATAAACGAACACTTTTCGGGTATCGCGATAGTTGTAATTAATTAATCATAAAATTGTGAAATATTTCGCGCCTATTTAAATGATAGAGTTTCGGAGCTCGCGATCGTCTTTGTTAAATGCGATTGAGCCCATTCAGTATTTGTTAAATATTCTCCGTTTTCCGATTATTTAAACTGCATCGGGAATTGAGCCCCTTCATTATTGCTTAAACATTTTTGCGTCCCGCTTATTTAAAATTATTTAAAACGCGTCGGGGATTATTTTTATTAATTAATAAAATTGGTAAACTTTTCGCGCTTATTCGAACGACTGCGTTTCCTCGACGCTTGATCGATCTCTATCTTATGTACGTAAATTAATAAAATAATTTTAAAATATTTTTTTGCGCTTGATTATTCGATCGCGACGGCCATATTTCCTGGGCGCCTAATCGACTCTACCTTACGCACGTTAATTAATAAAATAATTTTAAACTATGTTTTCGCGCTTGATTATTTGGCCTGGCCGCGTTTTTTCGGCGCCTAATCAAACTCTATCTTACGCATGTTCTATATTAAAATTGCCGTGTTACCGGCGATTGAAGCCTCTTTTCCCCAATGTTTAAAAATTTATATCTTCCAGAAAAATAAAGATATAGACTTCTTTCTGGGCTCATCTTAAAGATGAATTATGTGGCTATTTTTTAAGAAATCGTGATTTTATTTAAAAATAGTAGATTAAAATGTCATTTTTTTGAAAATTTATTTTTTTCAAAAATTGTTAAAATTTGTTTAATTACATGGGTGGTGATGGTGGGTCAAAAAAAATTTTATTTAAAAATCAAATAATATAAAAAATTTTCAAAAAAAATTTTTTACTTTAAAAATCATATGACATAAAAATTTTGTATAACGAATTTTTACTTTGAAAATCACATGATATAAAAAATGGTGGTGGGTAGATGTGGTGGGTGTTGGTGGTGGGTGGTGGTGGTGGGTGGTGGTGGTGGGTGGTGGTGGTGGGTGGTGGTGGTGGATGGTGGTGGTAATTGGTGGTGATGGGTGATGAGTGGTGATGATGGGTAATGGTGGGTCAAAAAAATTTTTATTTTAAAAATCACATGATATAAGAAATTTAAAAAAAATTTTATTTTAAAAATCACATAATATAAAAAATTTTTATTTTAAAAATCAACTGATATAAAAAATTTTCAAAAAAAATTTTTTACTTTAAAAATCATATGACATAAAAAATTTTGTATAAAAAATTTTTACTTTGAAAATCACATGATACAAAAAATGGTGGTGGGTAGATGTGGGTGTTGGTGGTGGGTGGTGGTGGTGGGTGGTGGTGGTGGGTGGTGGTGGTGGGGGGTGGTGGTGGATGGTGGTGGTAATTGGTGGTGATGGGTGATGGGTGGTGATGATGGGTAATGGTGGGTCAAAAAAAAATTTTATTTTAAAAATCACATGAATAAGAAATTAAAAAAAAAAAATTTTATTTTAAAAATCACATAATATAAAAAATTTTTATTTTAAAAATCAACTGATATAAAAAATTTTTCAAAAAAAATTTTTATTTTAAAAATCAAATGCCATGTTATTTGCATTGAAGCTTCTTTTCCCCAATGTTTCAAAATTCATATCTTCCAAAAAAATAAAAATATCGACTTCTTTCTGGGCTTATCT